TGCAGACCAGCAAAATGGTGCACTCCTGCAGTCTGCACACCAGCACGATGGTGCACTCCTGCACTCTGCAGACCAGCATGATGGTGCACTCCTGCAATCTGTACACCAGCAAAATGGTGCACTCCTGCAGTCTGCACACCGGCACAATGGTGCACTCCTGCAGTCTGCACACCAGCACGGTGGTGCACTCCTGCAGTCTGCAGACTTGCAAGATGGTGCACTCCTGCAGTCTGCACACCAGCACGATGGTGCACTCCTGCAGTCTGCGCACCGGCACAATGGTGCACTCCTGCAGTCTGCGCACCAGCACGACGGTGCACTCCTGCAGTCTGTACACCAGCACGGTGGTACACTCCTGCAGTCTGCACACCAGCACGATGGTGCACTCCTGCAGTCTGTGCACCAGCAAAATGGTGCACTCCTGCAGTCTGCACACCAGCATGGTGGTACACTGTGCATGGCTGACATGGACCTGGACAGAGGCAGAGGAGCTCTGTGGTGTGTGTGGCCTTCAGACTCTGCATCTTACTCCTTCGGTTGACTTAAGCTGTCAGAGCTGTTGGCCCTGTCTGGGTGAACACTGTTCTCATAGGTGGTACTGACTGGCAGGCTGGGAACTGAGTTTCTTCATCATAGCCTGCTATGGAGCTCCATGCGGGTTCCGGCCCCTACCCTGCAGTGCTCTCTCCAGAGGGCTTGTACCGTTGCCACACAGAGGAATGTACAGTTCACATGCAGGGAGGTGGCAAAGCTGTCTGCATATGGATCCCGCAGACTCTGGCTGTAGACCACCACATCACCTTGCTCCTTGCTCCTAATGCTGGCAGAACACACTAGCTTATATCGGGTGGGGTGACAGTCTTGACCAGTTCCCAGACCTCAGAGCTCAGAATGGTGGCCAGGTGGGCACTCTGAGTGGGATGGTAGGCCACACCAGCCAGCTTGGAGGGCAGGTAAACATGTACCAGTGACACCCCCCCACACACACACATCTGGGTGCAGGGGAACTTCACCTCTAGTCTGGCTGACCACAGGGGCACCTGAAAGAAGAGGGAGAGGGGTGGGTTGTCTACTGCAAACAAATCTTGAACCTGCGACTGGAGATATGGCTCAGCGGTTGAAAGCACTGGCTGTTCCAGAGGACCCAGGTTCAGTTCCCAGCACCCACATGGCAGTTCACAACTGTCTATAACTCTTAATTGTAAGGGAAAAGGGCCAGCCAAAGAAACACACCTTGGCACTGCAACCAGAACCAAAGAAATGCACCCTGACCCTGAAACCAGCGCCAAAGAAACACACTTTGGCCCTGGAATCAGAGCCAGTGAAAGAAATATACCCTGGCCCTAAAATTAGAGCCAAAAGGCTAAAAATGACCAGTGAAAGAAACACACTTTGGCCCTGAAACCAGAGGCCCTAAACCTGTGCAGAAAACCAACCAATCCCTGAGCAGGAGATCTAGTCATTCTGAGCTCAGGGATTGAGATCTGACCAATCCCCACTCTGTCCTGGTAAGAATCCCTCTATAAATCCTGTGTCTGTTCAGCTTCTGGCTGTTCAGGATGCTCCACTGTCTTCTGCCATCCTGGCAGAGAGCAACCACTCTCCTGGATTCTTCCCTTCCAATAAATCTCTTGAATGAGGTTTGGGTGAGACTTTCGCCAGAACAGAGACAGTCCCCCAGTGGAGTGGAGCAGAGCAGGGCTGTAAAACTTTTCTTGGCTGGGGAAACCTTCCCCGGGAAAAGCAAAGTTGTTACACTCCACTCTCCACTCTCCACTCTGCGCTCTCTGGGGCCCTGGAGCTGAACTGTAACAACTTCTCTGGGGGAAACCCTCTCCTGCTAGAGGCAGAACTGATACACTGGGGAAGCCTTTCCCTGAAGCAAGGCTTATAAGCTGCTATGCTTACTGTGACTTGTGGTATTCCTTGGCTCCCGAGTGCCAGAATACCTTTCCATCTGAGCTGTAACACTCAGTATTCTTTGGCTCCCAAGTGCCAGAATCCATCCCTGTCCATCCATCCGATCCATTGAAATGCTTACACTAATTCCAGGAGATCTGGCACCTTTACACACATACATGCAGGCAAAACACCAATGCTTATAAAATAAAAATTAATAAATCTTAAAAAATAAAATCTTGAACCCAGTATGTGAGATGTAGACCCCTGAGCTGGAG